CCCCAAAACCCCAAAACCCCAAAACCCCATGGGAAAAAATTATGAAAAATTTTGAATGATCTAATACTTCTATAAGCTAATTAAATCGCAAAAATTCAGTATAAAATTATTGGACGACGATAAGGTTCACTTCTTCTTCTTGCCCTTCTTCTTTTTACCCTTCTTCTTCTTCTTTTTTGGGAAAGGATTAATCATGAGTGCATCGCCAGGACTAGGATACTTTCTTTAACCTGGGACGTATTCTACATCAGTTGGCATTAGAATTGCTCTTTGAAGAACCACCATACTTTGAGGGAAACCATCTCTAGCCAGTCTCTCTTTAATAGATTCAATCTCACTTACTTGCTCTAATCTATATCCATCAATAGCTCCTCTTGATAAAGCCTATAACCCTGGTGGTACTTTAAATTCTGGAAGTCTTGTATCAGGTTCTACAGGATGTTCCTCTTCTTCTGCAACTGGCTAAAGCTTTTACATTCCTTTAAACCAATTGTTTTATGTAGGAGCAGTTTATGGCCTAGTATATTTATCTGCTCTATTATAAACTGAAAGAGAATAAGCATCGCTTCCTTTGTTAGAACTAACAAATACATTATCTAAGCTATCCTCAGTAAAATTTGGAACTGCATTTATCAAATCACCTTTATATTTTCTGAGAGTTTCTATTCTTTATTTAGCAGATTATATTTTCATATTTCTCACCTTACCAAGCATTTAAAACTTGCTACCTTATGCTTCTTTTGAATCAAGTTGATCATCAATCTCACCAATAGCATTGTACTTAATTATTTCTTCAACCGTTTATTTTTTGTGGTCTTTTTTTATAATGCTCTTTGTTCCAATATTATGAGCTTAGATTAAAGGTAATGATTAATTTTTCTTCCTTTTAGGTAGAGACTTATTATATTCTTGAATCATTTCAAGTTGTTTTATCTGAATAGCTGTTGACGGTCTTATACCATACCCAACTTGATCCTTAGTAAGATCATGTAAGCTTGGTTATTTAGCCTCTAATTAGCCCTATGACCCTCTCATTCTTGGATGAGCACTCTTGAGACTTCTTTGCTAATTATCTTTGGCTTATTTCATTTGATTCATCTTGTTTTATTGTTCATAGTCATCATATTCTTCATCATCTTTTACATAATCATACTCATCATCGTACTCATCATCATCTTCTTAATCTTCTCTACTTCTCAAGCTTTACTTGCCTTTATTTATTACAATTGCATCTTCATTATCAGAAAGTATTTGAACATCATCTGACTCATCACTAGATGAATCCTCTTCTAATGGGTTACTCTCAGGATTAAAGTTTTTAGTTTTCCAGTTAGTCCTAACATATCCTCGTGCCTCAAAGTTGTTTGCATAAAGTTTGTGCTCCTTTTTCCTTTGAATTTCAGATTCTATTCTTTACTTTGCATTGCTCCATTCTTTCATTGTTTACTTTAACTCTTCCTCTCTTCTTTTTTCAATCAAGAGGCGATTTTTGTTTTGAAACCAAATTTTTTCAATTTTTTACTCAGTCATATCATTTGTTGGGAAATAGTTATGGAAATTTGACTTGCCTTCAAATCTATTTTATGTTTTGAAAACTACAGGATCACCAGTTGTATAGAAATTTTTAAAAGGATGAGACTTGACTGATTTTTCATCCTCCTCAAATACAGATTGAGCTTAAGTAGTTGCATCTCCTAAAGCTGCATTACTTGTATATGCACTCATAGGTCTCTCTTCTAGCTTATTTTGGAAAAGTTTTCCAAAACTCTTAGTTTTGTATTCTCCAATTCTGTCTTTAGCAGGGAGAATGTCTTAATGGACTGTTCTCTCCCCATCTTCGAAAAATTTCTTCTACTTCTACTCAATATAATTCTCGTTTAGCAGTTTCTCTCTTTTTTATGTTTATTTTTCTTCATTGCGTCTCTGAATCTCTTCAATTCTTCCTGGATTTAAAAATATTTCTTCTTCATCTTTTTCTTATGATGACATCTGTCCGATTGACTCCAACTTTTAAAAGTACCATGTATACACTTTTCCTAAATTCGTCAATTACAAATGCTTGTCTTTTGTAATAACTACTTCTCTTAATAGTCGTTTCAATCCTCGATGTAACTGAATTTTGTAAGAAAAATCAACTTTATTCTTTTATAGTTGATTTTAATTGAGTTAACTTGGACCATTTCTTCGATATTCTTCTGCTTGGAAATAAAACTATCTCAATCTGAGTCTTAATTTTTGAAATATTGGGTTTAGCTCAAGATTTTGACATTCCAAGCCTTACTCTTCGATGTGATAAGAAAGCAATTCCTCTATCTTAGGGAGGAGCTACTAGTCCATATCAGCAAGTAATCCGTCTTAGTCTCTGAGCATTGAATCGAATTAGTCACCCATCATTGTTCCGTGATTTAATCCTAGATTTCTATTATTTTCTGCCGTTGACATTATATAATTCTCTAAGAAAATCAATTTATTAAATTCAATTTTGTACCCTATCCGATTCAAACTTATTCCTTTTAGTGGGGTTTTGGGGTTTTGGGGTTTTGGGGTTTTGGGG